GGGGGGGGGGGGGGGGTATTTTGCACGTTTGCTGAGAAGGCCATAACCGCCGCAATATGGGTGTGCCACTGCAGCCGGATTTCCAGTCATAAGTGGGATCAGGTTGCCTTGTCGGTTGGCAGCCTATCAGGCCACTACTGGTATTGCAACGAATTAACTTTAGACGCGTCAGATTTTGTTAAAGAGTGAGCTGATGTGCCGTGAGGAAGGATATCTTGGGTTCGGCTCTACCCTCTCTTCCTCATCCCTGTTCATTGCACAACTGACTTGTTTGTTCAAGCCGATCGCAAATGAGGTTAGTAGTCGGAGTGGCTGTGGGTCCTCTGTTTCAGACTTTCCACTCGCGGACTCGGCGCAGCTCGTGTCGGGCGTTCATGTGTTTATGTGTGCTCCTACACTACGACGGTGTAAGAGCTGTGGTGTTTGCCTGCATGACATTTCTACAGTCGCAGGCCACGACGTCCACCGCGTGACTCACAGAGTGGGCGGAGCACCGATAACTAGCGCGTAGATTAGTTTATGGTGACGGACTTGCGTTGCATCTACCACGCGCCCTCCTACTTCACCCACTCTAATGGCACTTTTTCCTGCCTTCGCACGGAGGTGGGCATGGGTGCACGACCTGATCCCTACTTTATAGATCAAGCCTCACCCACTTAAGTGAGATGCGCGTTGCCTGACATGTGACGTTTCGATTGCCATACCGGCTCCGGCAAAGTGGATTACATGTTCAGTTTGGTTCAGTCCTATTCAGGGAAGGATAGGTGAATGCCTGTGAACTCCCCTTGGTTACAAAGTGTTTAAGAAAAAGCACCGATAAGTAGGGAAGATTGAAAAAGCGACTGTTTACGTAATTGCGTGCTAGTCGAAAAGGAGTAAACATGAACGTTTACTCATGTGTCGCAAGCAGTATAAATATGTGTAAGTTCAGTGACCTATTGCGTGGGCGTGTGGCTGATGAATGAGAAACTTAGTGCCTTCCGAGCCCGCACTTAAATTAATCCACATTGATAGTCCTGATAGGTGATAGTGCGTTTGGTTATGATGCTGAGGTTGGCAGGGTACGTTGATTTGTCATACTCATTATTAAGCTCAGGTGCGTTTTGCGGATTTTGTGCAGCTGCTTGACTTGACTGCGAGTGGTTCAGCTCATCATCGGGTCCCCTAGTCTTCCTGGTGTGGTTTCTGTTATATACCCCAGTTCCTAAAACTACTCTTGAATTTTATAATGAATCAGTGTGTGAGCCTATAGTAGGTTTTCGTTATGTTCCTTAGGATGCTATACTCAGACGCATTTCCTTTTTCATCAGTGGAATTCTACAGAACCCACGGCAAATCAAGTGATGCTGACAAGTTGACCGCCATGCGACGCATACTTGGATCCATGCCAGAGTGTCACTTTATGACCGCAAAAGCCGTATTCCTTCACATGCACAAGTAAGACTTTCACTATCCTCTTCGTCAGTTGTGTCGCAGCATTTTAGCCTTCCAAGAGATTCTGCCAGCTATTTACCTATTCTGATGATGCAAATCACACGATACCACGTCAGATATTGGGGCTTATGAATGGTCTGTGTGTCTGCAACCACTGTTACATGCCCAATGGATGGACGGTCTAAAGAAGCAAATCTCAGACGCCGGCCTGGTCAGTATTGCTGGGTGTCAGTTCCACGTCGCGAAAACCCCGTTGTTAATATCCTGCCATAGATCAACAGAAATCCTGGATATCGGGACCTCACGCACGTCAGGTGCGGTTAAGCAGAAGTTCTCATTGAAGCCACAAACACGATACTTCCAGAACTCTACTCGATTCTCAAAAGAAGAGGGGGCGTTCACCGGGAGGGGTTTATTTGAGATCCGACGTTTCGGGTAGTTTATCCGTGGCGGAGCATTCCGTACATTAAAGGGGTCTCCGAAGTCGTGGCCCGATCACTCGCGCCACTCGGAATAGGTGTTGCCCACAGGCCTGACTCAACAATCCGCCGGCAAGTGATGCGGCCGAAAGATCCGATCCCTAAGCAGGAGATGTCGGCCGTTGTCTACCGACTTCAATGCAGCTGTGGAAGTTGCAACTACGTTGGGGAAACCGGTCGACGGCTGCAAACGCGAATGCACGAGCATAAGTTGGCCGTGCGAAGGTTGGACCCAAAGTCGGAGGTAGCAACCCATGCCGCGCAAATGGGACACATCTTCAACTTTGACGCCGTTGAGATTGTGGGCCGGGGCAGCGATCACACAGTAAGGCAAGTGCAAGAAGCCTGGATGTCCACCGACCGCTCTGTCAACCGCCACATCAATTTGCCTCCCCCCTATCTGACTTTACGAACCTTCTTAGCGGGGACAGTCACGGCGCGGGACAATCGGGGCCGTCAGTCATCACCGCGGCCGACGGGGGCGA